GGTTACTGAAAAAATATTCAGTATACAGTAAATTTTACTGATTACTGCAAAAAATTGCAATAAAATTTATTTTTACAGCAAAGAAAATGCAGTATTTTACTGACTACTGAAAATGTGTTTACAGTATTCCGCAAGATCTAATAATTTACTGAAAATTCTATTTTCAACATATTTTGAATATAACACATATTTATCATCACAAGTAGCTATAGTGCGATAAATTTTACTTTTTGGGATTGTAAATCTTTTCAGAAGACAAGAACATAGTTATGTACAAATTTATATAAGAGGCTAAATCTTATATAATATTGTCGGGCAATAATAAGTTGGTTAATTATATTTTATAATATTAGATTATTAATAGAAAAGAGAGTAAAAGAGATCAATAATAGTTGTATGAAAATTTTAGTTAAACATAATATTTTTTTACTAATAATGCATTTTGGTTGAAAATTTTAATGATTACTGAAAAAAATTCAGTATTCAGTAAGATTTGCATTACCAGTATTTTTTACTGTTTACTGACATTTTTTCAGTATTCATTAATACTGTAATTTTTTCCAGTAATCAGTAAAAGTTTACTGAATACTGAACATTTTTTCAGTAACCAGTAAAGATAAAGAATACTGAAATTTTTTTCAGTAACCAGCAAAAATTTACTGATTACTGAAATGTGTAATGCAGTAAAATTATACTGCAGTGTGCCCATGTATGGCATCTACACAGAGGAAAAAAAATATACACGCCAGGTACCAAATTGACACCAAATTTTTCTATAACATCCGTGTCAAGTATACACATACATACAACAACAGCATGTAATGTGGACAAACGTGGTAAACTCAGTATTTACAACGCATTTAGAGCTTATCACTTTTGTTAACATTTAGACAATGGATGTGCATAAAGTTTAGATTCCGACAACGAATTGTTGCAATGTTGACAAAGTTGCGTGGTCTACATTACATGTTGTTGTTGTATGTACTACTTGACAACGGATGTTACTGAAAAATTTGGTCTCAATTTGGTACCAGGCGTGTATTTTTTTCTCTGTGTATGAGACTATAACTTCTAGAGTTCTCAAATTTTGCACAGGTAATTTTTGGCGTCCATATTAACTTTTGGGAAAAATGGGCGAACTATTAAAAGTAATCCTACGTCTGGGAACTATAACAATTAGAGTTATTAACTATTGTACTATCAGTACTATTCTGTATATCTGTATAATCTTTAAAACAAATATAGGCGGACTTAAAATACTAAAAATCGTATATAATAGACACTATAACAGCTAAAGTTTGAACTTAAAACGAAAAACGGTACTTTTCGTTAAAAAAAAATCGGCGGACTACCAGTTGTGGGCATCACCCAAATGAAGTCAATGCTCAAATTCATACATCTCGGATATTATAACATTTACAAGCGGCATTTTTTTAATAAATCACCATTTGGCAACATTTCATAATTATCTTCGAATTTTTCCCGCTGCCTATTCACACTTGAAATTCTAGCAAAGATCATGAAGAAATTTTTGAACAATTTGATTCAATTAATTGTAATTATCACTTTGTGTTCATGCATGCTCCAATTTTAGCCATTACATATTTAATAACAGTATTAAATTAAATTTTTTGACATGAGTATTTATTCAAAAACTGAGGAATTCGCGTCCAAATACTCAAATTTTGACCGATAACAAAGAAAGGGGCAAAAAGTGGAACGATATCATAAAAATATTACATATTTATACAATTATATAAAAAATCCTTGTAGTTAATAAATATGAAATAATTTTGTCATTTAACTTCTCACGATCTTTAAAAAATCAATTCAAATTATCAAAGCATTTATATGAAATATGCCAAAAAAAAATATTTTAAAAACTTGCTCTTGTTTGACTTTGAATTGCTTTGAATTTTTCACCGTCTTCACTCTAAAATATTTATACCAAAATATACACATTTCTTTGATGTCATTTTATATGTAACATTTAAGGTTATATACCTAGATCAATTGTGGTTCAATCTGGAAGTTATAAGCACTTAATAAATTTGTAAAACGTGTAAAAATTCGACGTGCTAGAAATACTTTAAAACCACATCTCGATTCAAGAGCTATTAAGCTATCGTAATCATACACTAAAATTCAAAGGAGCGGAAAAACATGTATGTTATAATACATACAAACCAGAACAAAATTTTGGTAGACAATTTTTTTTGTACTATCATAGTTTTTATACGTAAAATAATTCTCTTTAATTTGTAAGAGGTTTTGAGAAATGTTCGATATTCTTGTAGTAAATAGTTACTTCTATTTCTTTTGAAAATTAAACTGAAATTCTGATTTTAAAGTAATTTACCTTTAATTATTTTCATTAACATCTGTGTATTTGTCATTTCAACGAAAAATTAATGCCATTAATTCCAGTTACATGACCAACGAATACAAATCGAATCTTTAATGACACATAATTTGTTATGCTATGTTTCCACTGGCTTGAAATCTACTAGATTTGCGTAAACCTCTTCAAGGTGTTTCCACTGAGCTTACTAGTTTTTGATATTCGAATTTTCGAACAAATCCTGTCATTTTATTTTGATATAACGACGGTAATGTTAATTTCCTTCAAATTTATACATTAAAAATACAAAATTACAGTTGTGAAAGTATAAATTTGTTTATTAAATACCACTAATTTTAAAATTATAATTTGTTTTGTTTTTATTTCGAAATGAAAAGTCACTTTTTCGATGAAAAACATTCAACTTGAATGGATAGCCTATAGTTATCCTAGACAAAACGCAGTGTTGCATAAGCAAATCTTATTCGAAAAAATACATTTTCGACATGTTTTAAATCAAATCTAGTAGATTAAGTAGATTTGGATTTGTCAAAACTGTATGGCAAATCTACACGATTTCAACTAGTTTTGCCCAAATCTATTAGATTTGCTCAAAACGCCTCAGTGGAAACAGAGCATTATATTAGGACTTCTCATATCACTTTATTTTAAAGGGGCTTTAATAAGTTTACAAATCTTAATACCTATTTTGATTTTCTCATGGATTAACATGTTTTTTTTAACCTTCTTACACCAGAAGCATTATGAAAATATAATGCTTCTCATATATGTATAAAACTATACATACATGGGTTAAAAACACAAGGAATACTCGACTGTGCTCGAATATGTGAAGGTATAGAATAATATAAACAATTTTGTAACAGAGCGTATATTTGTTTAAATAAAAAAACTTAGAATAATGTTATATCTATTGTGATACTTCTCTAGAGTTTTTCATTTCCCGCATTTTCATTTCGAGGGAAACAGGAATTGGTCTTGAAATTTCCCGGAATTCCAGCCTAGAACAGATAATCATACTAATATTAATGTATATGTATGTATTTGATTTTAAATTCGAAATTTTGAAATCAAAAGATACTTGATACATTCCAGATTTTAGAGTGTGGACTTCTTAAAAAAATTCTTTAGGATAACCCAATTGTGTATAAACAGCTCGAAAAGTATTTTTTATAAGTATTTAGTATAATGTTTTTGTAAATAGAGTAAATTCCAACACAACTTTAAATTCCAGGAAAGTTTAATAGAAAAAAGTAATAAAATTTCAACATTTTTTACTTTTTTCTACATATTATACATATGTCTGTATATTTAGAGCTAAATATAAGTTAAAAGGAAAGATTTATGAAATATTTAGCGTTGTTTTACAGTTTCTAATTTTTCGAACTTTTTCCAATCCCGGGAATTGATTTCTAAAAATTTTCATTCCCGGCAATTCCAATGAAATATATATAAAATTTGTCTATTTTGGCCATTTCTATAACATAGAACGTGGTAAATATTATATGTATTTAACTTTTACAAAATAAAAATTAATTTATTTTATACACTCTGCCTTTATTTTCTAAAGAAATATCGGAATATCTTAATTTTAAGCTTGGTCAAGAATTACATTCCAATCGAAAACGGTCTTATTTCTTTCACGATGAAACAAAAAAGCATTGAAATTGTTGTAATTATTGGTTTCTCCTAACGTTTCCCTTCGTTAAAAATTTAAATAAAAATGAACAATTTAAAATTATTATGACTTAACATAATTAATCGGCATTTGAAGAAGCTAAAAGAAAACGATCGGAATAATAACTGTAGACTAAAACAATTCTGATAGAAATATCCGACAGCCCTTTTTGAATTAAATAGTTGGTCTCGAGAAGATATTACCCACATTTATGGTTACAAACAGTTTAAGGCGCATTATCTAAATTTCCAGGGTGTAAGGGCCAGTTTTATAAAACTTTAATGTTTTAAGAATTCGTTACTGAAATCGAATTTCCTAGCACCGGATTTAATTTTAATTTTTAAATAATATTTTCTATTAAGTAAAATCATCACCAGTACACAATTTAAAATTTAAGCAAGATATTTCCTAAAATTATCTAATTTTTTTAACAAATGTATGAGAAAACCGTTAAAAGAAATTCCCAACAACACTTTCTCGGGATATACGAAAAAAAAACTCTACGGGCAGTTACTTCGATAATTCATGACTAATAAGCCTTTATAGAAATTGTTACTTAAGAAATTGCTTAATTTTAAGACTTTTCTCTATTATGTTTTTGTATTAATATAGGTATATTTATGACGGTAAATATTGTTAGTTCCTATAATTTCATCGACTTCATGTCGATGTCCCATGACTAAATTGTCTAAAAATTACGTATTGCACTCATGTGCAGTAGTCGACCTATGTAATTTTTTGTTGTTGCTTTATTTACAATAATATTTACAAATTCATCTACAATCATTTTAAAATTAAACAATCTTGTAAATCTGTGCCAAATATAAAACAGTATTATACAGATTTAAGGCGATTGTTAAACATGATTAATAATAACTCATTTCATATGTACTATGTACATATCTAAGTATGTTTGTAGGTATTAAAAGTAATAATGTTTTAAAATTAATCAATAACTACCGTTGTTTTCAATTAAATTTGAACGTGATGCACTAAGCTTGACATGCTGACAACAGGCTTTGTTTAAACGAACAATTAAGCATGATGTCGCTCCCGTTGTTTTTTTGTTTTACTATTTTTTCTTGTTTTCACTTTTAAAGGAGCACTTTACTAATAAATTATTTCAATATGCATTTGTACATATGCATGGCATTTTGTAGTTAAAATAAGAGACAGTATTGAATTTGATTTTTTGAATAAAAACTTCATACGCCACAGGTGGCAACAGCAGCAATAAAAACAAAAGATTAATACGCACTAAATGGGCATTCACTCGTATTCACTTCACTTCTTTTTATTGCTTTTTTTTAATATACATATGTATCTATACAATACATTTTTTAATATTTCGCAATATGAACAACACTTATTTATTAAATTGATGTTGGCTGTTGTTAATGCTGTAAAACTCCTTTAACAATTTTTATCCATGTATTTGCTTTTTTTGACACTTTTTGGTATTTTAAATATTTTTTCTAATGTGATAGAATGAATGGCTGGATTATTTATCCTTTTAACTTTTTTATCACAATTATTTTTAAGGAAATATTTTAATTTCAGTTATACTTGTTAAAAGTAGTGCGCGTTTAAGGACAATTGAAGATTTTTTCCAGTAAAATCTGGTACAAGCGACGCGATTTTGCCACATACAATATATAGGTAGGGTATACGACACGGTACGTTACGATACGATTTCAAAACATAAATACATATAAAGTTAAAAGTATTATACTCTATATTAGAATAACTACAAATTGATTGAGTTAATACACACGTGTTTTCAAAAGTTTGTTTACGAATTAAAATATTTTACGTATATCTTAAACGATGCACGCTACTCTCGTCTTCACGTTCAACAAAAAAAATGTCGATCTTCCGCCTGTTTATTCGTATCGCTATGTATCCTGGCTGGCGCTTCGTTTACATTTACAATTTTCCATATTTTTTATTAAAAATTGTCCACAAACACACACACTTCCAAACGCAATAGAAAAAAATAATAATAAACAAACGAAAAAAAGGCCGAAAAATCTACCGAACGACTGGTCTTGAAACACAAACAAAAACCAAAACAACAACCACCATTAACACTGAACTGAACTTTGATTGGTTGTTTGTAAAATCGAATCAAATTTACATTCGCTCGTTTATTCGAGCAGTAAGAATACGAATTTTTAAAAACCAGTTAGAATTCTCTTAAAAATGTTAACAGCAACAACAACGTATTAACAATAGTTGTAACACAACACACTATGCATCCATACATATGTATATATATTTTCAATTGTCAACCACCATTATTTCTAAAAACGGCACACACACACGCACCAATACTTAAAATTTTAAGTCCTGCCTGCCTGTTAGGCCGACTGGCAAAAAAAATATAAAAATAATAAAAAAATATTTGTTAAACTGTCTTCTCTTTCCTTCCTTTTCAGTCAAATAATAAACCATGGTGGCTGTATTCATTGTCTAGACAAATGTTAGTTAGGTTTGATCCATAATATGATCCTGACAATCGTGTTTTTGCTTATATTTATCATAAAATGTTAGTATACAATGTTATCCTTTAATATTATTTTTTATTAAAAACACTATACATATTTCATATTTAACATTTTTTTTTTTTAAGTTGAACACATTTTAGGGTAACATAATACCAGGTAATATATATTATAGGTATTCACTTCACCATTTTTCTCTTGCGAAGTTTAAAAATTTTACTCTAGTTGACGTGAGTGCCTTTTTAGCAACAATTTTTACAAGGGAACCAATTATATGGAAAAACTTCTGTGAATTTCACCATAAAAATGCTTGCAAACAATTCGGTATTTGTCATCAATTTGACTTAAAACTTAGTTGGTTTTTATGTTCCATTCCGTCATGAATAAGGTGATTTGTTTTTTGGTTACGGAAGCCTGTGTAAAGGTTCTGTTAGTTTCTGTTCTCCGTTCCGTGACGAATAAGCTGATTCGTGTTTGGCCGTGAGGTTGTCGCTTGTTTGTATGCCAAAAAAGTATCAGAACGAAACATAGAAACTAACTGACCTTTACTGTTAATTAGGCTGAGCCAGCATTCGAAATATTGATTTACTAATACTACGGTATTAGAACTCATTTAGTTCATTTCAAAACTTCAGGAACAAAAATTTACATATGTACATACATATCGTCACCTGAAATGCAAAAAGGCGTAACAACCAAAAATTTTAACATCGACTTTTTGATTGAAATTTTTAGAACCCAATTGTTAAAAATAACGACTTTATTGAAATAAAATTCAAAAGGGCGTAACAACAAATTGGTCATTTCCACAAGTAAGAAAGTCTTAAAAGGCAACATAATGGACAAAGTCTGGTGGTTCAGTTATACTCAATCGTTGTTGGGATACAATACTTGTAAGAAAATGTTTTTATAATAAAAATAGCTTTTATTTTATTTAGTTCTTTGTCTCTTCTGTAAAATGTTTAAAAGTGTTGTTAAGCCCTTTTACAAAATACAGTTTTGTTATTTTACTTTTAAAAAAATTCTTATTAAGTCCTCTCTTATTAACTGAGACTTTACTGTTAATTAGGCTGAGCCAGCATTCGAAAGAAATACATAACTTTTTTTTTTCAACAGTTAACAACAACAAAAATACACTGATATATTTTTACAGATAAGCAAGTATCTTGTGCATAGTTTAAGGCTTAAACTTAAAACTTCCCACCAAAAATAAAGCGAAGTATTTCCAAAAGAATAACATTTATCACCACTTCAAAAGTAGCAATTAGTGAATTTTTTTACTTTCTGTGGAAGTGATGCTTAATGACTTCCGAAGAAAGAAAAATAATTATGTATATTTTTTAATGCTGAAGATAATTTTTTTGTTCTTACATTTTTGTGAGTTAACAAATTTTATTTTTGGGCTTCTGTTTTAAATGTATCTATTAATTACCCGTATTAATGTTAATATTATTTAAGTCAAATTAGTTGCATTCTATAATAATACAATTTTACTTCCGAATAACTTCCAAAAAAGATCATAAAAATAACTTCAGAAGTAGTGAATTTGGAATCAAATAAAAAGGACATCCCTCCTATGACAAGCCTGTGTTAAAATCATCAGGTATTTTTCAGTACTTCCATGGAGTAAATTTTACTTCTTTTTCGTAAAAGACCTGCACAAGACAACAATAATGCGACAATTTGTTAAAAAATATCGTGTGCGCCATCATAAGTACACGATTTTTTTTGTTTTCTTGTGCAGGCCTTTAATATAAACCCGAAAAAATAAAAGTTTGAGTTGAGTCACATTTGAAGTGGGTGTGAGATTTCTCAAAATGTATTGTCCTGACGTACCTACTACGCTATTTGGTATCATATGATCGATCGGTCCTAATAAGCATTTAAGTACATAGTTTTGTTTTTCAAAATAAAAATAGCCGAAGAGGGTGCATTGGACGGCATTCGCCGTACATACATACATACATACATACATACATACATACATACATACATATATACATACATACATACATACATACATACATACATACATACATACATACATACATACATACATACATACATACATACATACATACATACATACATACATACATACATACATACATACATACATACATACATACATACATACATACATACATACATACATACATACATACATACATACATACATACATACATACATACATACATACATACATACATACATACATACATACATACATAAAAATAGTGCTGGCCAATTAGAATATTGTCAAATATTCGTGTATTAATATAATAATAATGCCAAGATTTGCGTTTTTTCTCAAAATATAATCGTTTAAAATTTTTCTGGGATTTTGTTTACAAATTTATAAAAGTTAACATTAGAAGTTTTACATTTTATTTTAAAAGAAACCATAATTAGTTTTCGCTGTCAACCTTAAATTACCGAAAAAGCTTTATCTGAGAAAAAATTGTTAAAAATCAACTTGCTGTTGGCTTAAAGAAGGGTCGAGCCTGCAATAAAATTTGTCAATCGCTTATTGAAGGTGTTTTAAGCTATTTAAGTTTTTGAATGCGATTTTCGTGAATTTTGCCTAAAATTGTTTAATAAACCTAAAATAAATTTTATAAATATAGCCGTTAGTATTTAGAGTTGTGGTTACTTTCTTATATTTATAAAAAAATTTACTGGTCTTTCTTACAACAATATAGCAATGGTTTCCTGTTAAAAACGTAAAATCTCCTTCGAATAATCTTAAATATTGATGAATAGATGCTATCTTTGTCACTCCCACTCAGTAGTGCCTATTTAGCGCTTTTAAACTCATTTAGCATCCAAAATTGTAATTCAACACTTTTTTTTGCATTTTCAAATATTTTTTGGCACTTTTTTAGGATATTTTGTATATGTTTTGTTTATGTAAATTTTAATTATTTTTCTGTAGAAATAAGTTTAAAAATTTATTTTATTAAGAACACTTCATATGTTTGTATGTACAATAAAAAACTTTGTTTTAACGGGTTGTCTGTAGATATATCGGTTCTAAATATATTTTTCGGTTAACCGAACATTGGCCATTTCTAAAAAACCGGTTTGTCGGTTAACTGAGAGTAAAAAACCGGTTAACGGTATAGAAATCTTTAAAATATACTAATATATACTTGGAAACGGACATTTTGCGAAATATTATTATTATTTAATTACTTAATAAGATATTTGCACTTTTAGTATAGATACAATACAATACACATACACAATGGATGGCAAAATTGGTACGATGGTACTTTTTTTGATACTATTGCATATTCAAAAGTACCGTGATGCTACCGAGTCTTATTTGATACTCTCAAAGTTTCTTTAAAATTTCAAATTTTTATTGAAATTTGAAATTAGAAGGTTCTAAAACTTCCAGAAAAAATGGCTAATAATATTATAGAGCGCGTCATGAAATAACTCCTCATTAAATTTAAAATTAAAAAAACCCCAACGAAATAAAATAACTCTCTATATTAAAATGAAATAATACCATTTTTGGGGATTTATTTCATATGAAACAAATCCCTAATTTTAAAATGAAATAAGTTCCCATTTAAAAATTTGACATCTAGATATAGAAAATAACAAATAATAAAGATTTCCTTTCTTTCTGAATAAATTTTTAGGGAGTTATTTAATTTTTGATTTGGGGAGTTATTTCATGTCGACATTATAGAGTAATGGAATTATCTTTAATATTATGTACCAGAATTAAAGAAATTTAGTTTTAAGAGCCACTTTTTTGGAAGTATGTTTTGCAAATTAGCAATGTAGCTCATTTCGAAATGGAATTTCAAATTATTATCTTGATTGACATTATATGAATATTAATCTACTTAAAATTCCATTGTTAATATTTTATGAGAAAAATACCAATAATTAAAATTTTGAAAAATATTTGGACTTTAAAGCTAATTATTGTTTCATGTCATATTCAGAATCGGATTTACGAGTAAATATCCTATGTATGGTATCATGACATGGAGCGCAATGTAGAGAATTTGATATGACAATTGATTTTTTAACAAATGAACACCTACAATATATGCACGTCGGATTTTAATTTAATAACACATACATATACGAGATTTATGATTTATGGAAATAAACTATCGTTACTAATACTTAGCTCAATTATTAGCGTTAAGTTGAATTTCCAAATTCATCCTTGTGTAGTTGTGGCCTGAATATCATTAATTAATTGTATCATAAATGCTTTAAATTTAACATACATATTTAAAAAGTATAATATCGATGTAACAAAGTACAATATCGATATAACATATAATGCTCTTTCTACTTCATTTGTTGATTGTTTAAAAATATCTAAATATATGTGGAGGGTATATTGGGTTTGTGCTGATGTTTGTAACATATAAA